AAAAACAAACTCTCACAGCAAACCCACATGAGTCACCTGAACTCAATATGCCTCCATCCCCACTGTTTTATCTTTAACTTGTTTACCCTTAGTTCATTCAAAAATATTTATCAAACAATTCCCACAAGCTGAGAATTATGTTAACACAGGGACAGCACACAGGTGAAGTTGTGTAATAGGGAAGTAAATGGTGCGATGGGTGCCCACCTTGTGCTCTCACCTGATGCTGGCCTGGCTTACAGATGTCTGAGTGGGGCAAGTGGAACTCTGATGAGTACACCTCCCCTGGGGAAAAAAAAAAGTGGTTGGAAAAATCCTCTTGGTCTCATCACATCCCTCTGGCACCCTACACCCAGCTTAGCCTCTCCCCTCCCATACCTGGTGGCAGAGGCTGGTACAGTGAGCACACACCCAGAGGAGCTGAAGGCTGAAGACAGAAACAATATGGCAAGAGGCAGTGGCACGGAATGGGGACTGCCCACCCTGTAGCAGTTCAGCCAGGTAGATGTGGGGCAGCGGAGCACTAAAAAAATGATGGGGGAGGGAACTGTGTCAAGAAATAGCCAAAGGAGTGCTGAAAGCAGGGTGTGTCTGAAAGGACTTTATTTGGGGCAGAGGAAATCACTCTGACTCAACATATTCTGTTAGGATTGGAGAAGACTGTAGTTATGGCAAAAATTCCTGAGCCAGGAACATGTGTGGAATACAGATGTGAGGATGTGAGATTTGGGGATCAGAGCCTGGGGCACTGACCTAATTGTGGTCTCCGGGGGAAAACTCAGGACCTGCATATAAGTGGATGACCGGAAACAACAGTAAACATTGTGGGATCTGCAAGAGGAAAGAGAAGGAAGTCAATTTGAAGCTGAAGTTGAGACTCTATCAGAGACTAGGCTACTCCTCTGAGGGATGTTCCCTAGCCCAGGCTCTATCAAATCAGAGGGAAGAATGAGGAAAGGACTGGTCTGGAACATCTCATGAGAGTAGAGGGCATAAACTCCAGAGTAACATATAAAATGTAATTATCAAAAAAGAAGGTGTCATTGTAGCATAGTTAGGTAGGGGTGAACATTCAAAAGAACCATATCAGTCGGGAGAGGCAGCAAGGCCAGCTTCATAGATCTTCACCTGGAAACTCTTTTCTCCAGCTGGTTAAAGTAGACTCGGGCTCTTGGAAGGAGTCCTAGTGGTGGAGGCAAGTGTGGGCCTTCAATATATATGTCCAAGTGAGGGGGAAATTCACAATCAGCAGTCTCCAGAGCTACAGTTAGCTTCACACACCGTCTTCTGGCCTCAGTGCTCCCTACAGGATAGGGGAGGGGTCAGTGGTATCTTTCTGGACCATAAAGTCCCATCGCTCCATTTCATACCTTCCCTTAAAGGAAGTGTCATTACCAGGCTTTGTCCAGATAGGGGCCGGAAGTGGCTCACACAATGTCCGTGACAGAATCTCAGCTGAGAAGGACACCAAAGAATCTGTGAAGCTGAAGGGTCAGAGAAATACAGTGAGAATGACGGCATAAGAAAACAGAATGGAGAGTCAAGTCTAAAGACAGAAAAAGGAGCTAAAGTATCTGTTAGAACATCATCTAAGATCTCAAAAATTCTCATGCTGTGTCAAATCACACACTAAAAGTAACAGGATTTATAGGAAAAATAGAATTGTGGCAGACCGCTCAAAACCTATACAACTTTGTAACTAACCAGAGGCCTTATCAAGAAGTATACCAGCTGAGTTAAATCTGCTCTTGCATTTATGCCTAGAATATGTCAGTCCATCATTTGCAGCATAATATGCTGGAGCTCATGCTCCCACCTTCAAATTAGATCCTTAAAAACATTCACTTCTAGTAGAGACCAGTTTCATAAAAATTACACATATACTCCACTACGGTTTAATACAGGGGAAAATATCTCTGCAGCTTCTTCATTTGCATTTGCAGGTACCCCAAAAAGTTGATATGAAGGGAGTACATCTGTTCCTGAAGCTATAAGCTAGGTACTTCTTGTACTAAAAGAAGGCCCTGCTCTATAGATTTTCAGCTTTTGTCTTTACATTTTTAAAAAATTTCTTATATTTCCTTTTGTTGCTAAGGCTGCTCATGATCATTTCAAAATAGTAACATCCTGGAGGGGCAAGGGGAATCAGGTATGAAACACAATTCCCATCTTACACTGACATCTTTCCTCTAGGAGCTAAATCACATGAAAGAAACACAGAAGCAGAGAAAGGACTGTGCACCAAACCTAACGACGGCAGAGGAAGGGAGAGCAGTCTAATGAGCTGGAGAAGCTGAAAGACATTTACTTGCCACTGAGCAGGTCGGTCAGTGAGGACTGAGGCAGTGCCTTGTTGATACCCAGCACATCTGGGATGTTCTGGGAGCTCTCAAGTTCCAGGGTCCACTCATCCCGGATAGTGAGGCAGGATGTACAACCAGCCAACTCCAGAGGACGCTGCGATATGCAGGATGAACTACCCTCCTCAAACAACATTGGTGTCTGCCAGGAAATTGGAAGACAACAGTCTCTGATCCAGAAGGAGGTTCACAAAATACTATGACCCAATTTTGTGTTCCTTCTGGAGCCTGGTGAAAGAAGTGATCTAGAAATAGACAGGTCTTCTATTTGATCTAGATCTACCCTTCTATTAGAAGAGCTAGACAGTGACCAGGCACTGGCACTTCCTCTCCAGACCCTAAACCAAAAAGAAAGTTTTCTGGGGAAGGGTATAATGAAACTGAGCACTCACGGGAGGGCCAGGAGCCACAAGTCGGTATACTTGCCCAGGGTGCAAGAAATCGAACCAGCGGACTGAGGAGCCAAGAAAGATGAGGAGAACCTGTAAGGAAGGAGAGCACGATGCTGGGGTTCCAGACAGGTCAAGCCCTAGATCCCTGCAATGCCAGCTTACCTTCTGATTCTTGTTCTCATCTCCCTTGAGCTCAAGTGAGCCCCATCCGGTTCCCTCCTTCCTCTGGGTGCTCCCAAGCCAGCTCCCTGATACGTAGAAACTGAGTGTGGGCTTGTGCACCTCTGGACTGGCTCCTGGGGGAATACAAAAGTTCCTCTTCATCAGTGCCTCCTTGTGGGACAGCAAGAACAACCGGCTCTGTCCTAAGTGGGGATCCTTGGGGAGGGTGGGCTCTGTCTGAGGAGATGTTGATGAGGTGGCTGAGAGAAGGAAGGGTCTGGGCACAGGAAGGATCAGGGCATCAGCCAGGAGGAACTGGACGTACACTCTGTTGGGAGAGACAAGGAATAGGTGTCTTAGTGATGCAGACACTGGGTGTGCAGGCCCCAACATTCTAATATCTGCACCAGGCCCTGCCCCTTCCCCTCAGAGACTTGGCGTACAGCCACCATCCCAAGAAGCCAACCTGGCCTGCTGCTTCTGGATGAAGCCCGTCATGCTCAGTTCCTTCCAGGAAGGAAAGTTGCTTCTGACATTCCTCTCTATGACCAACTGGAACCTCTCTGCCCGCACCAAACAGCCTAGAAGAAAGAAGTTTTCTATTTTGACAAGAGGAGAGAACTGTGGAATGGGAAGTGAAGCAGATCACCCTGCAGGTCTTGCTGCCCAACACAAGCCTGACCTGACCTCCACTTTAGAGGGATGACACCTCCAAGGAGAAACCATTCCATCTGCATGTCCAATCCCACCCCTGGCCTCCTAGGCTGAAAGGCCTTGATTCTACTTTCTCACAAATCCCTAAAATGCCCATTCCTAGATCTAAGATGCTTTCCAGGATTTTCCTGTCCACAAATCTCAATAAGTCCAAGTAAGACCATCATTATTCTTCCAAACTAAGAATGCAAGAAATAAGAGCTGCCATCCTGGTGTGCATATTAGGCACTATGGAAGGAGAAATGAATATTGGGAATTGGAGTTCTGGCTAGGGAACCCCTTGCTTCCTTTCTCTACCTGCCAATACTGGTCTTCCAAACTTCTCCCAAAACCTATTGATTAATCTATGTAACTTCAGCATCTCTAGAAAATCTCAGCAGGTACTTCCTCCCGAAGCCCCCATTCCTAGACCCTCCACTCTGCTACCACCACCTCTCCACCTTTGGACTCCAAACCTATGAGCCGGGGGTCAGTGATGGGTTGTGAGTGCTTGTTCAAGAGTAGGCAGGGGAGGGAACCACTTTGATCCCGAAGTTGTAGACAACCTTTATGAGATGAAGCCACTAGGATCCCAAGTAAAACCTAAAGGGAGATGAAAGCCAAGGTATCAAGTATTTATTAAGCAAATATTGAGCATCTACTATGTGCTAGGCACTGTGTTAAATGTCAGCTACAAAGTGAACACAAGAGACATAGCCTCTGACCTCAAAGAATTTATTTTCAAGTGAGGAAGACATATGTGAAAAAAAAACATAGATGTGTTCACATCGAGGTTAGAGGTAGGAGAATAAGCATCGGACATAATAAGAAGTTTGGATTTTATTTTATGTGCACTGGGAGAAACAAGGATTTAAAGCAAGACAGTTTTGTAATCCAAGTCACATTTTACCTCACTCTTTCTACTTGCTGTCGCTAGGGGTCAAGAAGAGACGGAGTAGTTTAGTTAGAAGGCTAGTCAGTAAAAATGACAAGAAATGACTACAGTAGTGGTAGTAAGGATAGCACAAAGAGAAAGTGCCCTGAGCCCTGCTGGAGCCCCACTTACATGAGCTGGTTGGAAGGTGGCGGGCAGCAGACAGAGCCAGGACCAGGCAAGGCGCTGATTGAGTTGGTAAGTGGTCAGGTGTGAAGCCTCTGGGAGGGGCAGAAGGGTCTTAGGGTCAAAGGAGGCCCAGGCCCTGCGCTCCCCTTCCTCTTTCAGGGTGGCCAGAGTGGGGAAAGAGCAGGGAGTCTGCAGCCGAGCATACTGTAAGGGAGAGAAGAAAAATCAGATTGTGTATTCCATTTGTACCCTCCATATATTAGCTCTGCCACCCAACTTTCCTCACATCCTCATACCTTCTGGAGTGGACAGAGATGTGGCTCTTCAAGGATCTCCTTATGTGCATTCCGACTGGGGATGCATGGTGGAGACAGAACATTCAGGGTAGGAGCCAGCAGTTGTAGTCCCAGGCTGGAGTTCCCAGGAGAGACATGCTGAAGGAACTGGTGGTGTCTCAGCACATGGGGACACAGCCTTGGCCAGGGAAAAACGGTGAGTCACTTCCCCCAAAGACCCTGCTTCTTCCAAGATCCTGCTTCCCTTACAGAGGCGGTGTCCTACCCCCACTGCCAGCCCAGACTCCTCATCCTCCTTACTTGCGAGCCAGCTCCTCCAGGGCCTTGGTAGCCCACAGATAGAGGGGAAGTCCTAGCTGATATTCCCATACCAGCTGCTCATACAGGGAGGCCCCCTGGGCTTGGGGGGAAGTCTGAGTCTCAGGCTTCTGACGAGAGAATCCTCGAAGTAGAATGGCACCACGGAGACAAGGGGCTAGCACTGGCCTTCTTGTCCCTCCACCCACTGACTGAAGGAGGTGAACATCCTGGAGCTGGAGAAAGGCAGAAAAAGTGAAAAAGGAGAAGTGAAGCCAACTCAATGACTCCAGGCAGTTAACTGTAGTTTTCCATTTCCTGAGTTCTAACAGAAACCCAATTTTTCCTATACAGGCGATTTCCTTTCGGCCTCCATGCCTTACCTTCCATCACAACCCACTGCCCTTGGGGTAAGGCTTCATCTTTCACAAGCTTCACCCAGTCTTTCCATGGACCAGAGGACTCCTAGCTGGTATGGCTTACCTACTCACCAGGCCACCTGACATCATTCTGGCTCTTCCTATAACTGTGCATCTCTTCCTCCAGTTAGAAGGCCCTTCTATGAAGGAGAGACACTCTGGTCCCAACCCCTTCTCCATGAGCCCCAGATTCTACTACTTCCTGATCTGCACTCTCATCCAAATCATTCTTAACGAATGCACATGCTCCCTGACCCCGATACACACTTATTATTTTTATATTTTTGCTATAAAGGTTCTCACCCTGCTACCAAAAAAAAAAAAAAAAAAAAAAAGACCAGCCTATAAAGGTTAAAGAAGCTGCTGAGAAGGCCTCTCTTTATCACCAGCCCTGATCCCTCATGTACCTCCAGACAGACTCCTGGTCGCACCACCCGCCTGAGGCCATGGAATTGCTGGTAAGCAAGACAAAGCCCCAGCTGCCCATCCAGTTCATAGAGGCCAGCAGGCTGATTCAGCACACCCGTGACCGTTCCCTGCAAAAAGGTCAAAGAGCCAGTTGATCTCTATTTCCTTCCCCTTTGAAGATAAACATTTCCTGCCCCTCAAGCTCTAGGATCTCTTCCCTATACTCACCGTATATGATAAGAGTCTGGAGTCCCGGACAAGACCTTTTTGCTCCTTCCTGTCTTGGGAGTTGCTGGGCCTAGGGTGTGGCTTGGGGTCAGCCTCTAAGAGGAGTTCGTCTGGCTCTAATTTTAGTTCCAGCTCTCGCACACATTCTGGTTTCAGCGGCAACAGACGGGAGGAGGGACTAGTTGTCCAAACATGGTAACGGTGACCATGGATCTTGGATACTCGAAGCTCTGTCAGCACATAGGCCCTACCAGGCCAAAGGGCTCGGTGCCAGACCAGCTGGGCAGGGACCTGCAGAGGCAGGCAACATGGTACATGAGATGCTTCCCACAATGCTGTCCTTTTGCCAGAGTCCCTTTCCATCATGATTTGACCTCAAAGATCTGTTCTTCATGAGCTTTCCTTGCTTCTTCATCTTCCTTGTTTATAAATTAAATTTTAAACCATAGAACTTTCAGGATCTCTCCTCTCAAAGGAGATGCCAAATGTTTCCTAATTCCTCCCCCAAGATACAAACCATCTGTAAAACTTCCTCCAAAACACATAAACATTCCATTTAGAAAATTAGGTCCTTTTTGACTTTTCCCTATTCCACCCCATAACATATAAACAACTTTCACTTATTCAATCAACATGCACTGGATATGTAGGTATGTATCTAGTATGGAAACAGATGTTAAGGGAAATATAATAGACTATTCCCTCTCTTCTAACATATTTTAAACCACTGGGAAACACAGACGTAAACCCAAGTCATAATATGGGGCCATGTATGATCAAGTGGCAAAAAGAATACACATTCGCTAAGTTTTCGGAGAAAGAGAGAGGAGGTTAGGATGTTGGAATGATCGGGAAGCCCAAGTGAAAGAAGTAAAACTTGAACAGGGTCCTGAAGGACATCTCCAGTTTGTCAAAGTGGAGAGAAAGAAAGGTGATTCAAGCAGGAGGCAACAACATGGAAATGTGCAGAACTCAGAACAAGCAAGGCAGTGAAAACACTGGCAAGGATGAAGAAAAAGGAATGTTCCTGGGAGGTGCTGGAGACAAGATGAGACAGCCAAGTTGAGGGGGAAAAAAACACACTGAAGACTTTATAAGAAAATAAGATATATCAAAGCAGGAAAATAAAAATAAACATCTGACAACAGGGCATTACATGGACTGGGGAAGGATGGTTGTTGAAGAAATTTAAGCACGAAGTAAAAAGAGACTGTTCTTAAGTATACCAGTCTTCTAGGGTATACTCCTATACTCCCACAGGCACAATGGTACTGTTGCCATTCTGAGGGCCTTCAAAACACAGTGATGGTCAAGACACTTGAACTTCAGTTCCCTGTGCTCAACTTCACAGACCTCCAATCTACTCTAAAACCAGCTGAGTATCACCAATCAGACCTTGGATGTCACAATTCATTGTAAGGTATTGCTAAGACCTCACTTAAGCTTACTGACTGTGCAAAACAAGTAGTTAATAATGGTTTGACTGAACAAACAAATGAATACTGGTGCTTCTGCTCTCCCCCAACCCTCCTTTGCTCATTAACCTTTCACTAGGACCTCCAATATTGCAGGCCCTTCTCCTTTATTCAGACACTGAGGTCCTTCCCTTCCTCTGTTCTAATACCACATCACCATGGCTAATTCCACAACTCCTTTCCCAAGGCAAAAAACCTACTTGAGGAAGACAGACCCATGCCACCCCAGTGCCAAATGCTGATAGTGACCCTCTCCAGCTGGGTCCCATCACTGCTTAGCAATCTCTTAACCCTGACCTTTACTCCTCTTTACTGAGTCCAGTCCTTCATTTTCAAGAAATGACCTCACTCTTCTACTATAGGAGAGATTTACTGGGGTCATCTAGAGTGACAGTATGTCCCTTCAGTAGCCCACAAACACACCAAGATCACTCCTCTCCTCACCCCTCAGGCTTATGCCAAAGCCCACCTCTGTACCCTCATAACCTTGTGCTTGGACATGTACTTACCACAGCACTTATGATCTTGAACAGTAACTATTGACTTAATTATCTGGCTGAGAGCTTCAATTTTGTGCCTCTGAACTGACCAAAGTGCCTAGCATTATATTACATACTCGATAAAAGTTGAATCTTGGTACAGGTGATTCTCTAGTCCTAAAAATCCTCCCCTCTCTCCTAGTGCTTTAAATCCTGTCCAATCTTCAAGCCTCAGATCAAGTCTAAACTCTCTCATAAGGCTTCCCTCCACATAATAAACTCCAGATAACGTGCTACAGCAGTTACAAACTATACCACACATCTTAGAACTTACATACTGTTTTGCATTTCTCTGCTTATTTCATAAATCAATACCATATAAAATCTACAATAAGATAAACTACCCAAAGGGTTTACCGGACTTTGGTCACCCTGCAGAAATTCAGAGATTTCTCTCTTGACATATAATACATGAATGAGCCAATCCCACTCTGCACAGACCATTTGAATGGTCTCCAGGAGACTTAAAATATTCTAATGTGGAAAAAAATACAAAAGCTCCTCTTTAACCCAGAAGAAAAAAGCAGGATCAGAAATTTGGGTGGCTTCTAAGAATTTTTAGTTTTAGCATTTTTAGATCCATTATACTCTAATCACTGTTATTTAAACTCATGACACACACAGACACAGTTAAGAATTCTAATAGTGCTAATAAATTTCAATTTCCTTTTTTTTCTAATATGCATGTTAGAAAGGCTTTTCATTCTTTAATTGTTTTGAATGCTTTTGGAACCCTGTTCAGATAATTTATAAGACATATAACAATAACTGGTGTATACATTAATGATTTTAAAATTTTACCAGTTGATAAGAGTCTACAATAAGTACCAAGTTATAAGTCATATAACTACACTTTTAAAAAGTGTATATATTTAATGTCTTAAGAATGTTCAGATAAATAATTTCCTTGGTCATCCTTCTAATGTAGGGGAAAAAAAATCAAGTGATTTTGGCAGATTTTCAAAATGTCACACACAATACAAAAGTTGTCTACTCAAATGAACTGCATGGCAGGCAAGTCCAGGACGTTACCTGGAATCTTCCCTCAACATCACTGTTCCAGAAAAGAACTCTCCACCTTTCCTTTGTGGTTCCTCCTAAGATGTTATCTTTCCTATTAAGAGTTCTAACACCACTTCTGTATCTCCATGCCCCTGAACTGACCCCATTCCTCACCTGAACGATGATGGACACATAACTGCCAGTTTGGCTGCCAGCTGGGGATGATTCACCAAGAGACAGGACAAAGTAAGCTTTCTTTTGACTTTTCACCAGGGCACTCAATCGAACCAGCTTCCCAGCCAGGTTTGGCTGCACGACTTTGAGCTTGCTCCTAAGGAAGGTAGAAAGAAGAGAGAAAAAATCATTTTTATTTCTTTTCTTTTACCCAACAAATGCCTCCCCTCCCACATAAAGAAAAATCCAGTTGTGATGTAAAATTTCCCTATTTCCCCAGCGATTCCAAAGATATTATTCTAAAAGAGGCCTTATCGTTCCCTTGATTTGGAACATTCCATCTATATTACTCTCAATACCCTCTCGCCTTCTTTCCACCGACCCATCATCATCCTCCCAGTTTCACAGTGCTCCCTCATCCCCTAAAGAGGGAAGAATTACCTGTGCCTGAGCAGGCGGGAAGCAGCCTCAGGGTAGAGAACAGAGATAGGGGTGAGAGGGCCAGCACTGATGGTCAAGGGAAACACTGGCACAGGGGCACCCCAGAGCTCCAAGTGCCCTTCTTCTGAGAAATTACCCCTGGCAGGAGGGAGGTAACTCCAACTGGGGAACAGAAAGAGATGGCTCAACCAAGAAAGGTCCAGATCTATGAGCTAAAAAAGACCAAGAGAAAGGGTTAATCAAGATCCTCATATCCCATTTAATCCCTTCTACCTTTGCTCCCTCAGAGACTTAACTGCCTCACTCCTAGGTACCATTCTTGTTAGGATCTGAGCATCTAACCTCCCCTTCCTACTCACCTCACAGCCCAGGATACCAGTGTTATCTCTCACATAAAGATTTCCATTCCTGCACTTTTGTTCCAAGTCCCCTGATAGGTCTGTTAGTGTCCCTAAAAGTAAAAGCCGCTCCCGGGGCAGGGTCCCACTTAGTCCAGCTTCTTGGGCCCAAGCCTGGTACGCGGTACTGCTCCAGGACAGGTGGCTGCAGCATGGGAGGTGCTGGTGGGTCTTGAGGTCCTGTACTGAGACAAAGCTGCAGAATGAAGGAAGCAAAGTCTTACAAAGCTGTATCCAAGCCTAAGAAGTTAATTTCAACCCCCAACAAATCCCCCCACTATCCCAAGGAAAGGTCAATGGGGAACACGGACTAAGAAAGGAGGTTGTTTGATTAACTAAAGGCGGGGAAAGCTGGGGTGAAGAGTCTAAGAAAATGAGGATGGGATCTGGGTTCAAAGACTGGGTAGTACCAAGGGAGAAAGTAGAAAGAAAGTCTGCTGAATAATATCTTGAACAAGATAAAGCCACAGAGAAGACTAAGAGAAATGAAGTAGGAATGCAAAAGCAGCCTGAGGAGATGAATGTGGGGAGAACATTTTACAGAATATTTTACAAATAGCTCCTTCGATAGCATCTCAGAGCTCTTAAACAGAAAACTCCAATGGGGCCACTTAGGCATCTGCCTAATGGCTCAAACTCAATGGACCTAGCCGGGTTTCCTTCCTAGTCTAGAAGATCACAGGACTAGAGACTAGCTGGGAAACTGAGGCTGAGATGGGAGTTAGTATCAAGAGTTTCCAAATCTCAAGAGATGTATGAGATCGGCCATTCTTAAGCAAAGTATTGCAACACTGCTGAGTTACTATTGTGAGGTATATCATGGATAATGTGATAACAGTTAAATTATCAAAGTTGTGATAGATTCACATCTTTGTAATATCATTATTCCACACTTGCATTCCTATGATTTTTTGAGTAGAAAAGAAATAGGATATGGTTACGAAACATCACAATTTATCCTGATTGTACTCGTAAAGATCAACCACACATGAGTACTGAAGCGTGGGAATGTTGTTCTAGATGGCTCACTGCCCTTCCATATCTGCTTCATTCTTTCTCAAATGGCTTTGAAGCAGGTAAACAGCAAAGATAGAAACTGACATGCGTTGAGCCTCTCTTACTATACTATACTGGGTCCGTTCACGCTTGATATTGTATTGAATTTCACTAAAACCCCTTGTAAGACTACCAACGAGGAAACAGAGAGGTTCAGGTACACAGTGGCGCAGGTGGCAAAGCTAAGTGCACCTCACTCAAAAGTCCATGTTCTTTCTGTGTTTCTCTACTTCTCTAAATGCCCAGGCAAAAGCAGTGGGAGAGAGCTGTTTCTTAGACACCTTCAGGACAGAAAACAATAAAAACAGGGGTCACTTTTCCCAGATTCTTTAGGGTTTGGGTCAGGAACTGAAGGTGATAGCCTCAAATCCTTTGCATTTATCATTGCTCTCCAACTTTCAAGGCCTAGCACAATGCCTGGCATACAACAGGCACTCAATGAAGGAGAATGAAGAAATGAATATTTATGTCTGTCAAATAATTTCTATTTTACCCTTATTCACTTTATGAACTCGTCATGTCTATATATTATACTATCAATTTTATATTTATCTTGAATAACAAGAAACTTTAAAAAGGTTCCAAGTTTTCTAAAAATTGCTGACTTACCACTTTTCAATTATTCTAGTAATATCAGAATTTGGAGAGATTTGGATCTTCCTTTAATCAGACTGTGATCACCGAGGCCACTAGGCATACACTCAACTCACCAGTGGGAGACCTCAACCCCACTCCAATTAAAGACTTCATGGAAATCACAATTTCTTCAACTATGACTGGTTGATAAGTAGCTCTCCTGTCCCAGGGCTTTTCCCATACTAGTAGGACAGTTTCAGATGAGATCTCATTCTATATTTAAAAAAACAACGGAATCTTAAAAGTTATGAACATAGACAAGAATTATAGGAAAAGAAAGGAAAAACAGAGTCCAAAGGAGAAGAGTTACATAGGAGGAAAAGAAAAAAGCCCCCAGGTAAAAGGGCTCTCAGAAATTAATTTGGAATTACAATATCATTTAATCCTATCAAATAGGCCAAAAAAATTTTTTTTTAAAAGGCAAAAACAAGATATGAAAAAGATTCAGGATACAGATATATACTGGTATGTGTGTCAACTGGCACAACTCCATTGGAGAGCAATGCGAAAACAGCCAATGAAGCTGATGGTGTGCTTATTGGATGAGGCTGTACCTCCTCCCTTCAGGACACTGATTACTTAAGGAGAAGGGGTAGAGAACTGGATCAGGATAGAGCACTTAGGGGACTTTACCAAATCTGTAACACTTTACTTCTTATAAAAGAGAACTGAAGCAAATATGGCAAAACGTTATGGTTTTCAAAACTGAGAGTTAAGTATCTGGCTAAACACAATGCCAAACAACACAGTTTAGTTCAGCTGACATTTTTGCATAGGCAAGACTTCTCAGTAACGGAAGCAGTGCATTGATTTACATTCTGGAAGACCAGAAATTTTGGTTATCACTGGTTTATTGCATTTGCGATTCTTTTTGTCTTTATTCTGAGGATATAGTTGAAAGAAAATTTTCCTGTTCTGTGTAGTTATGAATAACATTGTAATTGTTAGATTCATTTGTTTCCCTCAGTATTCCATCTTAGGATTTCCCCCCTATCCTTGTTGAATTTAATTTTTTAAAAAAATTACATTTATTGGGGTAACATTGGTTAATAACATAATTTTCAGGTGTACGAGATTATAATTCAACATCTATACTCTATTGCATGCTCTTTATATAGTCCAATTTCCTTCCATTACTGTATATTTGACCCTCTCTATCCACTTCGTCCTCCCCCCAAATCCTGTTTCCCCTCTGGTAACCATCACTCTATCTATGAGTTCACTTTTGTTTTGTTTGTTTTTGTTTTATATTCTACACATGAGTGAAATCAACCAATTTTTGTCCTTTTCCATATGACTTATTTCACTTAGCATAATACTCTCAAGATCCATCATGTTGTTGCAAATGGCTATATTCCATCTTCTTTATGGCTGAGTAGTATTCTATTATGTGTGTGTGTACACACAAGCTTCATCTTCTTTATCCAATCATCCATCAATGTACTTAGACTGTTTCTATGTCTTGACTATTGTTAGTAATGCTGCAATGAACATAGGGATACATATATTTTTACATATAAGTGTTTTCATATTTTTCAGGGAAATAACCAGAAGAGTAATTGCTTGATCATTTAGGTAGTTCTAGTCTTAATTTTTTTGAGATACCTCCATACCATTTCCATAATGGCTGTACTAATTTACATTCCCACCAACAATGGACAAGGGTTCCCATTTCTTCACCTCTTTTTATTTCCTATTGATTCATAATAAAGTCCATGGATGAGAAAATTACACAGAATTTTTTAAATGTTTTTTTGGATAACATGGAGTACAATTAAGCTGTCTTCTCACCAAAGATCCCTTGCCTTTACAGACTATGACAGATTGCTAGGCTGAGTGAAGTGTTTCTCAAACTGCTATAAGCAGGTTAAGGGAGTGCCAGGGAAAAAGTATCTTGTGCCCAAAAAAGTCTGGGAAATGACAAATTAAACAAAGCTAAACATATTTCTACCTTTTTTATTTTTTAAAAAGATAAATGCACAGTGATATGTATATTCACATAATAGAATACCATACAGCAGTTGAAATAAATGAGCTAGAGCTATTAATATGAATAAATTTTGGAAGCATAATTTTAAGTACAAACAGCAAATTACAAAGGACATATAAGGTATAGTACCATTTATATAAAGTCTAAAGGTATGCAAAACTCTACTGTATATTGCTTGGGGATATACACATGTGAAGTAAAAATATAAAGATATCTACAGGAATAATATACATACTCAAGATAGTGGGTACTTCTATGACAAGGTAAATAGGCTTCTTTTTGCAGTACTTTTCAGCCTTTAATGTTAATGAGCCTCATGACCCTCCTAGAGAAGCTTATCATATCCAATCTCTCTCAAATTTATTTAGCCACGGTGCTTTTTTCTTGTGGTACTTTATTAATATTGCCTAGAACAGTTTAGGAAATGCTAGCGTAGTTTAAAAAAAAAAAACCTTCAGAAGATCTTAAACTCAGGTCTTCTTAAACACAACTATTTGCACCTAGTGAATCTTAGTTACCTAATATACAAAATGAAATAGTATCAGCCTCTCTCCCCACTTTGAGAGCTTTTTCCAAATTTTCTTTCAATCTTCTCCACACCCTCTTCCTTCCTTTCCTTGTCTCTAACCTTGACTTAAGCCAATTTCGGAGAACTATAGGAAAAGGAAAGCAGCTTGATGGAGAATGGAAAAGTCTGGCAGAAGGGGATTGTGTTTATACCACCTTTTCTTCCCCTTTGCAAGTTTCCCCTCACTCTTCGCAGTTCCTTCCTTTAAATTCCAAATTGAACTTCTCACTGAAGCTAACCTCTCCTTACCTGTAGCTGAGGGGCAGTGTAAAACCTTGGTTCCTTCCCTGGGACAACCAGGTAGTCTTCACACAGTCAATTATCAACTGAGTCAACTGGACGTTAGACTCTTTGCCAGCTGGACACAGGGTCTCTTGGATGAAGGCCTGGGCAGCCTCAAGCCAGGCTTGCTCCTGAGGAAAGTAAATCTAGTAAGAACATCTTCATGACCATCCTGCCCACCAAGGAAATTCTGGGAAGAATAAAGGAATAGAAAAAAGAAAAATCAAGAGGGCATGTAAATGAAAAAGAAAAGTAAAAAAGTTTAGAGCTTAAAGAAACCTTAGAAGTCTTTAGTCCAGCCGTACAATCATCAGCTCAGAGAGTTGGCCATCCAGCTTTGGTCTTGTCTCTTTCTTTAATAAATCTGTACCAATCCTTAAAGTGCTCAACTAGAATATATATTCCTCTGTGAACCTTTCTATGATCATCCCAGGCAGAATGCTGCTCCCTCCTTGGAACTCCCACAGCACCTTGCACATATCTCTATTAAAAGCAATGATCACCAAAGATAGTGGTATCCCATTTTATGTAGGGTCTGCTTCTAAAGCCAGTAAGTTGAAAAAAAGATTGGTCAAAAATCACCCTTGAAAAAAATCCTTTGAATTGGATATAGTACTATATAGTAACTTATATGGAAATGGAAATGTATCTAATAATAAACAGTACATTAAAAGAAAAAAGACAAAGTATAATTTTTAATTATTCCACTTTTTTAGTCATCCATACATTTGAGTTCCCATAAGCTAAATGCATATATGATACAATCCCACTGGATGTTTCCTGTTCTGTCTTTTCGGCTAAGATGTGAGCTTCCTAAGGAGGACATGAACCACCTTTATATACTCACCATAGATTCTGGACACATAGTTCCCTCTCTATGTAGATAACTCTAGGACATGGGACCAGCTTGGCCTACTCCTGGTGCTGGGCAGTTTTATTTTTAAATTCCAACAGAATTCAACAAAACTTAGAGGTAGGTCTTTTATCCTTCTTGATCTCCAGTGTTAATTCTAAACTATTACAGTTCTATCCCTGTTCCTCCAATGCTCTTCTATTAGCCTTCTGGTCAATACTCCACATTCGGTGAATATTTAGCAGCTTAGAAACAGCTCGAAAAACCAGTCTTCAAGTTCTCGATGACTTCAGTGTCCTCGTGAACAGTCCTACCACTAACCTTCACCTTCATTTCACCTCAGCCAAACACTCCCACTCATGTCATGGTTGTCAAAACTGGACCAGGTTATCATTCAGAACTGCCCACCAATATAATCTAAGCTCAGGCTCTCATACATCTGCCTTTCTCTCTTGGTCATCTTTTTTACTCCTATTCCTCTGAGAGGTTGTCCATTGCTTGGCAGATTGAACACTACTGTTTCTCAAAGTGGTACCTCAGAATCGCCAGTTTTATTTAAAATGCAGGTGATTTTTGGGTGACCTCAACTACTGAATCAGAATGGGGGGGGAATGGAGTCTGTATTTTAAATAAGCTCCCCAGATTGATACTAATATAGGTTAATATAAGTTTGAGAACACTATATATTTTCTTATCAATGACCTCATCCACTGGATGGCTTTATTAGCTGATTGTTCCTATATCTCTACTTTAGTTGATCTCTCTCTAGAGCTCTAGTTATATCCATGTGCGATCGGATTCCCCACCTGGCCAACCTACATGCACCAAGGATGCCCAACATTGAACTTTTCACAAAATCCACTCCTCTTCCAGTGTTCACTAACTTAGCAAATAGCACCCTCAAGCAAATAGTTCTATCTTGACTCCTTAACTCCTTTCCTTTCCCTTCACAAGACCCAAGTCCTTTAGATTCTATGTCCTTGATTTTTATTTTTTTTTACTGTCTTCATCTCTGGTACCTCAACATTGCCGCCATGGTCAGAGTCATCATCCTCTCTCATTATATTTCAACTACAGCCTTCTAATTGGTACTCCAGTCCACTCTCTACACTGCTACCTCAGGAAAGGGAAATTAAAATGTCACCTACTTTTCTGTTTAAAACCCTTAATAACTCCCAATGGTCCTCGGGTTAAAGTCGCTGCTTAACAAGACTTATAAGACTGTCAGCTTTGACCCCTCTACCACCATCCAATTGAACTTTTTGAGTTTTTCAAAGACATTTTCTCTATCTCGCCTTTGAACATGTTTTTGCCTCCACCTTGAGACCTCTTACAGTGTTTTGTTTGTTTGTTTGTTTTTTGCTTTACTAACTCCTACACGTACTTTGGGTTTCAAAAGCTTTTCCTGATAACCAGTTAGAGTTGAATCAGGGGTCTCTCTCAAGAACCCACAGCCCAAAGTTCGCCATTAGTCTGCTCCTGGCTTCCTACTGGTCTTGATGCCTAGAGAGTGGAACGAGACGTGTTTAAGGCTCACAGTAGTCGCTGCAGTAATGAACAAATATATTCGCAGAACCAGTGAGAGGGGTAGGACGAACAGCCTCACAGGCTCCCCATCACCCCTGCGCGGCCAGCGAAGTCAGGGAGGGGAAGAGGCAAGGTGGAAGGAACAGAAAAGAAAATCCGGGACAGACAAGAAAAAAGGACGAGGGTCAGAGAACGGCACTCACGGAGCCTGGAGCTTGTGCCGGGTGAGCAGTCATGATACGCCACAGGACTTGCTCCTGGAAGGTGAGCAAAGCGCCGCTGGCCAGAATGATCCATAGAGGGCCGACCTGTGACGTCATCAACGGGCGCGTTCTCGGCTCCACCTCCGGCTTCTCCCCACCCTACATCCGTTAAGACCTCTCTGTTCCACTCTCACCTCTGCTCCGCCCTCTGGCACCTCTGCCCCGCCCTCTGGCACCTCTGTTTCTATTCCCCAGTGATATCCTGTCTGGCAGTCCCTGGGGCGGGGTGGAGGAGCTCAGGAGCTCAGGACCTCAGACACAGCCGGCCTGGTTGATAACTCGTAAGCATCTTTGGATCTCCCAGATCTAGCCAAGCAGAGAGAGGTGTTTCCTCTTTAACACAGCCAGAGTATATAATTTCTATATTACTGTAATTATTAACTGTTTTTCCCCACTTGGGTGTGAGTATCTAGGAGCTTTATCCCACTTATTTTATTTATCTTTGAATTTTGATGCCTAGAACAGTGCTTGTTGCTAAATGAGACGTGATAAATATTTGTAGATCAAATAATGAAAGCCATTGCTCTCCCTAATTTAGTCAACCGGCCAATCATTTCATGGTTTAGCAGGCAGTGGAGTGCACAGAATTTATGCAACTATGTGGCAGGCACTGTTCTAGGTTCTGGGCTTACAGTAGTGAACAAGACAGAAATTCCCTGCTCGCATGGAGCTTAAATTCTAGAACAAGGAGACTGGAAAAAAAAGGTAAAATGTGCGGAATGTTAGTAATAGGGAATGCAGGTGGTGGTGTGTCTCTTTTATGTAGAGAAGGCTTTACTGAAAAGTTGACTTTATAGTAAATAATTGAAAAACATGAAGGATTCATATGATGGGGATCAAAGAGAAGGAATGGCCAGTGGGAACAATAAACAGAAAGGCCCTGTGGTGGAAAGAAATGCAATGAAGTCAGTGAGGCTGCAGAGGAGGAGAGATCAAAGCTGTAAAGTGAAAGAGGAGTTTTGAAGGCCATTGTACACTTATGGCTGCTTCACATCATTTTTGGACCAAGATAGAATAAACATTGATTATGATATTGTACATATAAACATCGTAAGACAAAAAGAATGCTCTAGTCATTTAACAGGAAAATAAACACTTTCATTCTACAAGTTATGATATCCTAATTCAACTTCACTTTTGATGCGAGCTGTCTGTCAAATGTTCTCAAAACATTTGAGAGTCAGGAGGCTTTGTCTAGAAATAAATGACAAAGATTTGGGGTTTGCACACTGGAAACACAGCTAGGCAAAAACCTAGAAGTGTTCCAAAGAAGAAAAAAAAGTCAAGAGTTCTTACAGTAAAAAGTACATTCTTGAGAAATATCAGTTCTGCATTCTTAGCCCTAGGATTGATCCAGGATAGTTATCAAACATTAAGTGGCCTAGATGATGGTTGCCAAGTGGTCTGGAAGATGGGTGCCAGGAGGTCTGGTCACATCTAGTAGTCTGAATAATGGATGTCAGGTGGTATGGATATGTGAGACTTTCAGGGAGGTACTCAAAGGGTTACCTCGAGTCTAGAGTGTGTCCAGATGTATATCCAGATGTATATCCAGGTGTTGCCACAGGACTGGAAATTTCAAAAAGTTTGTTTTCAGGCTAGTTAGCACAAGAATAAGTCTTTCCTCATGCCTCAACCTTCATAATGGTAATAATTTTAGCAGCTTGGTTAAAGCGATGCCATTTTATATATTCCTGATCTTTACTCTTTTCTCATCTCTATTCCTTATTGCATGAACTTGTTATGCACTGTGGTGCCAAGTTCTTTATAAAGCGAATGTTTGCAATTATTTCTCATTATTTCTTCAGAGATGTGTTCCTTCCATTTCCACCAAAACAACAACAAATCTCCAGAAGAAACTGAAACCTGTCTCTCTCCCTCCACTCCAGCCACACTGGCTCCCTTATTAGAACATTAATGAAATCTTAGTGAAAGTCCCAAACCTAATTATTCCTTTTGCTTTCAGTATTTTCTCAACTCCAGAAGGCCCTCTCTATTTATTAAATCCATAGAGATGTGCCCTATATCCTGAGATTTACTTTTTTAATTTGTATTTTTCAATTAGAGTTTACATTCAGTATTACTTTATATTAGTTTCCGGTGTACAGCATAGTGGTTAGACATTTATATAATTTATGAAGTGATGCCCCATTATGGGATTTACTTTTGATACTTCTTAGGAGACAGAGTTGAGTTTATGCTACAGTGATCAGAGGGAGTTGTACTGGAACCCCCCACTTCCCCAATTCATGTGATTTAAATATGAGGTTAGGAGCTCAACCTGGTGGAAGCATACAGGACCAAATGAGAGGGGCACTAGAGAACAGGAGGCCACTGAAGTAAATCAGGCTTAATTTAATAAGTGTCTTAAAGGAAAGTAATGGTGGAAAGATGTTAGGGAAGCATGGAGAAGAGTAGCTGGTGTGTTTCAGAAGGAAAGAAGTGTGGAGAATTGGCAGCTGTTTCAAACCTGGTGATTTTGAACAGGCTATGCTTGTCCAGGGGACTGCTAGACATATGGGACCAAAGTCAGGAGAGGGATCAGGGCCAAATGGATGAATTTGGAAGTCACTATATGGAAGTGAAAGCTGAAATGTTGTGGTACACTGGAAGTGCTAAAATGTAGAGGAGAGTCTACGGCCATGCTACCCTGGACAAGCCCGATCCCATCTGATCTTGGAAGCTAAGCAGGGGTGGGCCTGGTTAGTACTTGGATGGGTGACCACCTAGGAAGACCAGGTGCTGTAGGCATAAGAAATAAAAAAATAAGGGATTGTAAGCTGACAAGGTTCTTGCAATCTGTGAGGTCAAGCAAGGGTTGCCTCACCTAAAAAATAAAAATAAAAAATAAAATAAAATGTAGAGGAGAGAGAACCAGATAGACAGAGAGCTAAGCAAACAAGGGTTTCCAGAAGGAGCTGGAAGGCAGGTCTGAGATGAATTCAGGGAGTTCCTGGAGGAAAAGAAATCCAGGAGTGATCAGATGCCAGGGATCAACATGTGGCCTCTGTCAGAAATGAACCAGAGAGTACTTATTTCAGCAGCTTGGAATCGTACACACCCAACGTAATAATTGTTATGTCTGAGGTAGGGCTGGAATTAGGGTGAGGCAAGTGAGGCACCTAAAATTTATTAAATTTTGCACTCTAGGTGCCTCACTTGCGTTATTCTAATCTTGGCCCTATTCTGGAGAGGGGATCGGGAAGGGGAGAAGGATGGGGATAATGACTTTCACTTTTTACTCCAAATGTTTCTGTGTTGCCTGACTCATTAGAAAGACCATTGGACTGGGTATTGTGTTTCTCTGGTGCACCACGTCAGCTTTCTTTCCCTCATCCCTTCGAGCTAGCTTTGGCTGATAGAAAACAAAATAGTTCGTGCAGAGACAAGGACAGGAGAGAAAATCCTGTTCATTCCCTTTATCCCTCAATGCTGTACTTGTGGCAATGGCTTCCTTTGCCCTATTGGATGCTCTTCTTTCATGGCTCCACATCTCTCTCAGCTGATAATACCATTCCTCCCTTTGTCGGTTCAAGCCTACAGGTGGTAACCATTTTCTGCAGTTGTCAGGCTCTGGATTCCCCACTGTACTATGTTGGGTCCCTTAATCCTGCTCATATCTCTAAGTAGATTATTAAATTATTATTGATTAAATCCTATTCAGTGTGCCATCTGTTTTGTGATAGCATATTGACTAATACAACCATACATTTATGTATTATGAAGGTTTCAAAATCACAAAAATATGTACATAGTAGAAAGTGCTAAGTGTTTTGAGTTACAGAACTAAGAAACAAGTCACTGTAATGAGCCTCAGCTTCTGCATCTGTAAAGTAGTTTTTTTGTGAATATCAAAAGAGATCATGCCTTAATGGGTGCTCAATAAATGTTTCCTATAATTGTTGTTACTATAACGAGCAAGAATATGGAAGCTAAAAAATATATACCTCCCACTCTGCTAGGAATTAAATAATTTCTTTCATTAAAGAAAGAAAAAAAAGTGGAAGAAAGAAAAAAAGCCAAGGGAGTAGGGATAGGGAAACTGAGTCCTGGACACGGTAGATACTTCTCATTCCGTTTCCTGCATTCAGAGTATCTGTCTCTGTCACAGTTTGCACGGGAACAAGTGAGGCGGGAATATGGAGCTGACTGTATTTTCACAAACGTCAACTCAAGATAGATTTATGGGATAAACCACATGCGCGAGGAACCTCTCTAAGAATCAAAGGACGGACTCGGCGGCAGCCCCTCCCGTGGCGGGAGTAAGAGAGCCCCCAGGCTCCGCTTCCGGCCGCGGCGCACGCAGATGACGCATTCAGCGCGCCACGATTCAAGGAGCTCCGGGACTGGAAGAACTGCTTCCACGTGCGTATGGCTAGCGATCGGTGGTTGGGTTCCCTTTCTTCGCTGCACCCCTTCGACACACATCCCAAGCCTGATCCAGGTGGCTTCAATATCCCCACCAAGCCGAGCTGCGTCCGTCGGGGGCTCGCCGGCTTGCTTTAATGCAGGCGTGTATTTGACGCGCGACAGAGGAGACCTGGCTTAAACTCATCCCCTCTCTCCCAACGAAGACAATCTGTAGACTCCCTATTTTATGTCAGGCACCATGCTAGTCGTTAGGTCTACAGCCCTGATGTAGACATCTCTCCCTGCGTTTTTGGAGCTTCCATTTCACTTGGAATGAGACGAAAATCAAGTGGTTTAATAAAATGATTTAAGGATGTGATAATTCTCGTGAAGGAATGTGATGGAGGACGGCTGTGAGGGGCCTAACCTTAGAAAAGGTGATCAGCTTGGGGTGGAAGGGAGGAATCAGGACTAATCTGGCAGAAGTAATGTTTCATGAAATGAGGCCTGGCCTGAAAGGGATAGGGCAGGGGAGGCTGGTGAGTGATGTAAATCAAGAGTTCAGTCAATAAATTTTAGATTTTTTTGCTTTTTAAGCCCCAGGTATTGTTCTAAACCTTGGAATCCAATACAGTCCATGACCACATGGAGATTTTGTTCTAATTGGGAAGATAGGTCTAAAAATAAAACGTCAGATAATAATTTCTATATAAGAAATTAAAATCGGGCCATCCGATAGTGACTACTCAGAGTGGTTGGTCAAGGAAATCCTGTCCAAGGAAAATTTCTCCTGAAAACTAATAACAAGAAAGAACTAGCCATGCAAATATCAGGGTGATAAAAATGCCTATGGGAAGGGAATTTGGCAAGTTAGAGGACTAGAAAAGAAGGCAGTGTGGTGATGTATTCTGGGTGAGAAGGAGAGTGGCCTGAGATAATGTTGGAGAGGTAGCCAGTGGCCAGACCAGGTAAGTCAATGTACTGACTTGGAATGTTTTACCATGTGTACTGAGAAGCCATAATCTCATTTATGCTGACACATGGCAAGTGGATTGTGGTTGGGGCAGGAATGGAATCAGGGGTACTGGTCAGGAGACGAGTGCATTAGTCTGAGTGGTGGTGGTGACTTGCTCTAGAGTGATGGTAACAAAGATGAAAGGATGTGTACAGACTTGGGATATGTTTGGAAATAAATCTGCTAATGGATTGGGTATAGAGGGCTCAGAGAAAGGAATTAAGGTTGACTTTTGTGCTTTGGCTTGAGCAACTGAATAGGTGATGGTGATGGAGAAGACTGGGAGAAGATAAATCAAAATTTCTGTTTTAGCCCAAACGGGCTATCATCTATGTTTATGAGACGTTTATGTGGAGATATTATGTAAACATTTGAATATCCTAGTGTAGAGTTTCAGGGAGAGTCAGGGTTGAATAAAGTTATGGAATCTGTTGGCAGATATTAACTCGAATCATGTGAAATTGCCATTTTTGGTCAAAAATGGTTGATTGCTGACAATTTCACTGGTTCAGTTTATTAGATGGTATTTAAAACCACAGGTCTGGATGAGGTCACTTAGGAAGAGCATGTAGAAGGAAGAGAACAAAGGACAGAGCCCTGGGCACCCAACATTTAGAGGTAGAGCAGAAGCGTATGAGTCAGCACAGGTTACTGAGCAGTAGCAACCAAAAGATAGAGGAATATCAGGAGAGTGATGTCGTTGAAGCCAGCAGAGGCTGATGTTTCAAGAGGTAGGGAATGAATAAGTCAAATACTTCTGAGAGGTTGAGTAAGATAAGTGACCTCTGGATTAGCAACATTACAATCCTTGGTGACCTTGACAGAATAGTCAGATTCGGTTTTGAGTAAGTTAGGTTTGAGATACATATTAGTTAGTTGTCCAAGTGGAGAAGTGAGGCAATGACTTTCTCTTCCTTCTTCTTCCTTGGGAAGAGGCCATGTATACCTGTGAGCCCCTGTGCATGATCAGGTTTGAATGAGTGGCACAGATGTGAAGCCCTGAGCACTGGGGCAGCAAGGAATGCTTTTTAGAGTTGGTGAGATCTGTACGCATCTTGAAGAATGGGAGGCTTTGGATAGGATGAGAGTAGGCATAGAAATTCTAGGAGGGTGCAAAGGAATGGAGAGGAGGCCAGGCAGGGTTTGTTGAGTAATGCCAGGGTCCTGCTGAGAAGCAGTGGCATCAGAAGTTGGAAGGGTAGTTGGGGATAGGTATGGAGGGCCTTTGAATTTCAGGCTAAAGGCTTTGGATTGACCTTGAGCAGGGACGTAACATTTTGAAGCACTGAAATAAAGGAACTATCATTTGACTTCACCAGTCCAGCTCATCCTCCAGGTTTACAATTAGATGCCATTTCTTCCAAGAGGTCATTCCCGACTCCTAAAGTATGAGGTTGGTACCCACAGTCCCTTGGCCTTAACCACACTGAACTAGAAATGTATGGGTACTTACCTGTTTTCCTCAGTAAAATGTAAGCTCTATAAGGGCAGAAGTAGTGTTTATCTTGTTCACAGTTGTGTTCCTAAGAACGTGGCTGGGGCCCCGCAAAGTGCAGGTGTGCAAGGGACCACATGTCATGGATATACCTGTGCTCCCTGGTCCCACATCACTAAAGCCTACATTTTGCAGGATTAGTTAAAACTTACATTTTCAGGATACCTTGTTTCTCTGAATGCTCCTACTATTTTCTCCACTGATCCCTGTTGTCTCCAAAGCCTCAGCTGTTCTTGAAACTTGAAATTGGTTCAACAGATAGGCTACAGTTAATGTTATTTCTTAGGAACCTAACTCGTTTCCAGCAAGGGACACCTGAAGAGATGTCCTCAGTCCTTCACTTCTATGTTCGTCCCTCTGGCCATGAGAGTGCAGCCTTTGGCCACACTCAAAGGAAGCTGCGAGGGAAACTGCCAGAGCTGCAGAGTCTCAAGACCGAGCTGTGCTACAATGTGAACTGGACAGGTTGGGACAGGTTTTGGATTCTTTTTTTTTTTTTTT